AATTTTCTAACGCGTTTTTTATAAATGTTCAATATAAAATTGTTTTCGATATTATATCGGTCAAGTATAATGTCAGAAAATAACGATAATGATTTAATTAAGGGATATTATATATACTTGATCGATCATCGATCACAATGATTTTTTTTATCACGTCAATTTACTAGGCAAGTAATAAAGTGAATACTATAGACAAGAAGATTGATATTAATGATTGGGCTTTATGATCGAAAGGGGGATGATTTATTTATACCAATGTATACGTTTATTTATTTAATAATTGGAGTGGCGAAGAGGCCTATTCGGTTAAGCAGAAGGCACCTTTTTATAACGTACCATAATATTACATCTGCTACAATCAGTACTTATGCATTTTCTAACAATATTATTATTAACTATGGCTTACTTATATTGCATAAGCATTGGCTCTGAAAGATATAACAATTATCTCCACTATTATTATTAACATAGTCGTAGCAACGGAAACAAGTGATGGCCTGTAGTCGGTTTGTCACGTGAATACATAAACTATCATGTGCCACAATAATAGTTAATTTATGTCCATCTTTTTTAGTTGTTCTTCGGTTGGTTTTAACTCATCCCGTAGTTTATGAAAAGCATTTTTAATTAGTTCAATCTTTTATTGTTATATCAAATTTAATAAATTATTAGTACATATTCATGGTAAATAAAAAAAAAAAGTCATTTGACGCTACCTTGTCATTTTTACGTGTGTATATGCGAACTATTTTTTCACAGTATTCTAATGGAAGAAGGCTGCTAACTTGGTACGAATAAATGGTTTTGACTTCGTAATATTTATCATAAAATTTGACGTCATCTACTGGATTATCACTTTCTTTTCCATAATCTAACGTTAGCCAGTCGACAATTATGTCATGTTTATCTAACTCACCGGGATTCTTATTAGCAATTTTCTCATTAGTGATGCCATCGCGATACTATCTTAACAAAAATCAGTATTAATATTATATGTGTGAAAAGATTTCAAGTGAACGTCTTGTAAGAAATAAAAATATGTATACATTATTTGTTTTTTGTTCAAACGTTTTTTCTTCAAACGAAATTTTATATTCGGTCACAAATTTGTATAAATCCCTCCGTTTAATCCTATTCAAAATATCTCTCGATTTTTTCAAATTCTAGATATAATCATTTATTGAAATATAATTAGTGGAATTTCAATTGATTGATGTATTAATGAATAATACAAAAATATGAATCTATTCAGTACATCGTCGTTACTTGGCGCTTCTTGGTTGTCATCTAGTACTTGGCTGTTATTCGGTACTTGGCTGTCATCCAGTATTTGTCTGTCACTAAGTGTTCCATCCGCAAAACGTGATATAACTTTTAATAACGCATTGATAAGAGTATAACCGCGGTGCTTATTTTGTTCGGTTAATTCTTCAATAGTATTGATTATTTCATGATTAAGGAGTGCATTTTTGAGTCCGCCCAAATATTCGATTTCATAAAAAATAGAATCACTAAGTCGCATATACTTTTTAGGATCACGGATCGCACTTTTGAAATTGAAATGTTGATCTGCTTTCTCAAGTGCATCACATATCATATGATCAATTGCTCTACCTAAAATTAACGCACGTTAATTAATTTGCATTTATTGACTAGTATAAAGACATTGTGCAAATTTTACAGTGATAACATACCAACTTTATGTTTATATACAACCTTGTGTAAAGAATATCTTGTATGAAACATTTGGTAAATGTTATAGCAATCTTTATGTGAATAGATTATCTGCTCCTTATCACTCGAGACGCGAGAAGACTCCATCAATCGCGAAAATTTATATGATAGCTCCACTCCTGAATAATAACAGTCTCGTGCAAGGTAATCAAATTTGTCAACATCTATAAGATTACGTTTATTGTTGACAATATCAAATAGGTACCCTGGTCTTTTATCATTATTTATAATAAAATAATATATTATTATTAGGATAAGTGTTGGGATGATCTAAATAGTTTTCACAAATTTAAAACAGATGATGACTAAAGTCTGAATATATCCAGATCATAATCATTACATGTTTTTTAAAAAATATTTACCATCCCTAAATAATGTTACATGATCCGTTGTAAAAAAAACAATATCGTACCTTTTTAACGTATTTTTATCCTTACCCTTAATAAGTTCTTTGATGAATTCCCCATCCTCCTCTTTCAATCCGATAGAATCCAACTTGACGTAATTTTTAATAATATCTTCAAACATCATTACAGATCTAACCTTAAGGTCCCAATCTTCGACCCTGAATTATTCATAAAACTTGCATGATACTTGTATAAAATCAAGCGTATATTTGATAATATTATTTTTAACTTACTCTAAGCGGTTTCTAATAAAGTCACGGTTAAACAGATAACTATATGGTCCATGTCCTTTATGAAAATAAATAAATATACTTAATTGTTATTCAAGCATGTAGTAAACAAATTAACATACCTAGATCATGACACAAAGCAGCTAAAGTCACACATTTAAGGTTTCTTAGATCATATTCAGAATAATTTTCACAAACTTGAAACTGTAGTTTTTTGGTTAAGGTATAAGCTAGATGTGCCGTTCCTGTAATAATTTATACTATTATATAAGATATTCTATAATCGCAACACTTAGTTACAACAATTCGTAATAACGTGTAGGCATAATTTAAAAAATATGTTGTAATTAAATGAAATAGATATTTCAGTAATTATAATTTATTCTTACCCAAGCTGTGTTCAAAACGACTATGAGTTGCACCTGGAAAAACATAGAAAGTAGTTCCTAATTGCTTGATACCACGCAATCTTTGAATATGTGGTGTATCTATAAATTTTACTGCCCACTGGTCAAATTTCATATAACCCTATTTTAAAGCTACATGTAAATAAAACTAGTGATTTAAACATTTTAGTTAAAATTATTATTGCAAGAAAAATTTACATGGATGGGATCATTAATCAACTTCGGAGGATTCATTTTTAATCCATAGATAATATGAAGGAGATATGGTAGTTTTATTATATATAATTTTAAGCACTCATGGCATTCGTGATATTTCGGTTGTTTACGAACATAACATTGGGTATATAACACAATAGCTCATTGGTTTACGAACATTTAGTATATAACACAATAGTTCATTGGTAACTTTAAAATGATCATTCGAACTAACAACCTTTTAGAAGATAGTCTAAAGCTAGGTAGTTTTTAAAATTGATTGCTTATCGATTTGTAAATTAAAGGTCATGGATGCGCACAAATACTACAAGGTTTTAGATGACCTCCTTTTTAGGGATTTGCATTACCAACCCGTACGTACGTACGTGTAAACGAATATTTCTAAAATAAGGTGTAAAAACAATTTCAAAAATGGAAAAATACTCCATTACGTAATTTGTGGTACGTATATACTGTAACACTGCTTGTTGCGATATCGATATATAGTTCCACCATGGAAATTACTATTTCCACCATTGGCCGTAATTTATTATACGTAACAATGTTCGTCATGTATATATGTTATACGTCATTTATTGATTCCTGTCAATCCAGGATTGACATGTGTCATACGTGAATCTGAGAATAACATATGTTGTATTTTGAATTGGTATGAATTTTACCGATTAACGCAAATACACAAATGTTAAAAGCATTC